TGATCCTGTTTAAACATCGAAGCTGATCAGGTTCAATCGAAACATACAGGATTTCGACAATAAAGGACCAAAAATGTGGAAGGGAAAATGTCATGGTCACACTGTGGTTAAACACAGAGACAAAACGCAGACACAGCGAGAGTAAAAAATAATGAGGACTCTGTTTCTCCTAGTCTCTGAGAGGAGTGTGGGGAAGTGCTCTGACTCGTTCACCATACATGTACATTATTATTACACTACACTAGCTGGCCCCTCCTACGCTATTCAATTAGTTTTCTGGGCAACTAAAGGAGAAATATAAATAAAGCAAATGTAATAATTGTCATTTAGGACAGTGGAGTCGCGTGAACTGTTGATCTTATTGACTCTGGGCTGAAATAAAGGAGTCGGTGCAGTCTTTCTAACTCATATACTTCCCTCCATTAACAACCCCCACCCCTTGGTAAATATGAGCAAAGAAGGCTGTTGTGGGGGAAAAAAATAAAAAGTGTCTTTATTGATTATCGCTATCAGTTGAAATATAACGATCTTGACTAGTCGTGCTAGTTTTCTTGAACTAAGAAACTCACTTCCACAGCGGTTGACTTGGATTACTAGCCACCCAAAACTAGCCGGGCTACGTCCCGAATACCTTCGTCTATCCCCCCCATTAGAGCACTTCATAGAGTGTGAAATAATGCCGTCCACACCCCATTTAGTGCACTACACAAACAACAGGAAGCGATTTGAACTCCAGCTGTAGCTTGATACGGTGCTCGTCTCGTATTACATGACGGTACATGAGTGCTAGCTAGCAAGCTCGCTTAGGGAGATTTTTCTGCACTTTCCTAAATCCTGTAGTTACAACGGAAACAATGTTGAAAACCTACTCATCTATTAAAAACGGCCACAGAGGAAAAAGAAGCGCAAAAGTTTTAATCAATCGGTTCATACCCTCTCCTCATCAGTGAGCTGTTCGTCGACGTCCGCCATCTTGGCTCAACTGGACCAACCATGTCAGAATGCATCACGGGAATTCCACCATGCGAATTGATAGGAACAAACAAACAAGAAAAGCAATTAACATTTTTGTTTAAACAAATGTTGCTTGTGTTTCACACAATATATAGATATAAACAAGACAGCACAACAATTTACAATCAAACCTATTTTAGTTAACTCTATTAATAAACTCAATAAAGTAATAGCATAATATTTGCTCTTGGGCTTTGCAATTATTGTAAAAAAAAAAAAAGAAAAAAAAAACACATATTGTAATTGTGACAGTTTGTGAATCCTTGGAGTATAATATGGTTGCAGGCACTGAACCACCATCACACACCCTATTCTTGACTAATGCGATAAGATTACTGTGGTCAATATCAGCGATCGTTTTATTTATTGTACCTACAAAGTGGGAAATAGCCTTTGCCTGTTCATTATACTCATGCTCATCAATGAACACCAGTGTTTCCTGTATTCTGTATTTGTAAATAACCTGGATAATGCTGCCTGTCTGTTAGTGAGCTTCGAGATTTTGTGGTTTTGCCACAAACACCTCATCATGTAAGCACCCAAGTCTTTAGATACAGTTGAGGTCATACGTTTACACATGCCTTGAAGAATCTGCTAAATGTTAATCATTTTAAATAATAATTTAAATAAATAATAAACATTAACATAAAACAGTTGCAAACATTCATTGGTTCTCAAGAACAATATACATTAAGTGCCAAGGGGGTGTAAAAGTTTTAACAGGATGAAGGGTAGAACTAATAATAATAATAAAAAAGATCTTTAAACAAAATAATAACAATTTACACCAATCATCCTGTTCCTCTGGCTCTTACTGTAGTGTGTTGCCTTCTTAGGAATCAGTGAATGTTTGCACCTTTTGTAATAGTTGTGTACAAGTCCCTCAGTTGTGTGAAAAAATGGATCTCAACATCATACAGACTCTGTTGGAAAGGGGTTAAATTTGTTGAAGATGCTGGAAAAACAAAGAATGTCATGAAAAACAATGTTTCCAGCCTAACAAAAACTTAATTTTATACATGCCAAAAGGTAATCAAACTTTATTGAAACACTAAAGTGTGGCAGTCTGCAGAAAGTCTAAATTATGCAAAAACACACAGCCCTTTTTTATACCTTTCTCCGCAGCGTACTCATCTTAGGCAGGGTTTTGCCTTTTCTCATTAAAAACAGACAAATCTTCCCCACAAATCAACAATTAGTTATTCATGTCTATATTATATCTATATTATGTCTATATGTTATCTTAAATTTGTGGAGCATGCGCATTTAGTTGTTTTTCTTGAAATGGTTTTATGAGGAAAAGGTTTCTTTAAAAAAAAAACAGGTTTCACTCACACAGAGTATTTGTTTTTTGTCTCTGACCAACACTCTTTCTTATGTCTTAATGAGCTTCTGTCTGTTTCTATCTGCTGTCCTAGCTGATATCTACCTCCCTTCCTGAGGCCCTAGACTAACTCATTAGTTGGTGTCCAGCCTCAAGTTTGTTTACTTACAAAAGCAGTTTCAGCAAATGTCTAATGCTAATTTATTGCTGTGCAGGCAGGTGCAGACTGATACAGGAAAACAATTATTGTACAGTAAGACACAGAGTTTATCAAACTCAATACACACTTAGAATATAACTTGATCAAAGAGTGTTCTGTGGATTTAGATTACGCTTCTAATATTGAATATACATATAGAGTATGCTTGTTAACTAATATTGATTATTAGATTATGCTTCTAAGTAATATAATAATTATAATAATTATAGATGTTGGTTATACATATTGATTGTACTTTATTTACATATCTAAATTTAATAGATTACACTTCATCAATATATTCTATAAAAACGTTGGACAGTTTAACTGCTCAGAACAAACAAGAGACTTGACATGAACAACTATCAGAAAACAAACACAGTCATTGATCATCCAGGTAACAACACACAGTATTAAGAATCAAGTGAACAGTGTGTAAACTTCTGAAGTGGTTCATTTGTGTAAATTAAATTATTATTGGGTCTTGTGGACTATATGTAAACATCTGTTATATGAACTATCTTATTCACAGCAGTACTATATAAAAAAACAAAATGCAGTTATTATGATCCCTCTTATTTATTTAAATTATTCACACTTTGCCGATTCTGAAAGGTGTATGTAAACTTCTGACCACTTTGTCAGATGTTTTTTTTATTGCGTGATTTAAGAAAAATAGTTGTTTATGGCCAGAATAAGCATTTGACCATTAAACTGAGAAATTTCACTTAATCAACAAAGAAGGAAAGAAGGCCCTCACTGGATTGCTGTGTGCCTCAATGTGGTCATTCAACAAGACTTATTTTGGAAATAAACTTTTGTGCATTTCATTCTGATTCAATAGATTTATAGCTTTAATGTTGATAATTGTTTCAAATTTTGTACATTTGTCACCTTGCAGTTGATTACAAATCATTTAGGCTAACTTTACTGTATCTTCACTCTAACTGGACTTCCCTTGTCTTGCATATAACATTGCTTATCCGTTTTATTTTTTCATTGTTCACGGTTCAGGGTGTGTTTTTAGTATCTTGAAATAACATCTCGAAGGACTTCATATTATACCCAGAGACTTATTAAGGGTACATCTTCCTATATGTAATCCAGAGGATAATGCAGGTCCTCCTGTTCTGACTGAGACCCCATCTACATTTAGGACACTTACAAGGCTTTCTACCATCCTCAGAAAAACCTGCCCACTTATGAGAGAATGGTGGCCACAAAAGGTCACACTGGAATAAGCTAGTATATGAAGGGTAAGAAAAGTATGTCAGAGGTTCAGACTTTTCACATTGGCTGGCAGCGTTAATTGGCTACACAGTGGATTTCACTATATACATGGGAAAAAAACATTTCCCTCAGGCACAGTACCTGCATTTGATTCAGTAATGTCTCTGATCAGTCCAGCGTTCCTGGGCTCTGGTTCCCACTAGTTTGTAGATAATTTCAACATAAGCCTTAAACTATACAAACATCTGTACCATCTGAATATTTGTGCATGTGACACATACAGTATAGACAACAGAAAGGAATTCCCCATAGGCTCTGGTTCCCACTAGTTTGTAGATAATTTAAACATAAGCCTTAAACTATACAAACATCTGTACCATCTGAATATTTGTGCATGTGGCACATCATACTGTATAGACAACAGAAAGGAATTCCCCATACTTTGTAAAATGCGCTTAAGAATGACAAGTGATCCCAGGAGCTCCATCATGTGGTGACGAGGCAGACTTGTTTGTATTTCTTATCAAAGTGTGTCTAAGTAATATGTAAGGATCTCGGTAAAATGTGTCTAGTTGTTTGTTCTATTTGCTATGTTTATTGTTTTTATTTTGATGAGTGGTACTGCTGAGATTTGGGTCTGCTCTCAATGAAATCACTCAAGTAAAGTCAAGGTTTTTATTGTCATTTCTCTATATAGCTTGTATACATTGGAATAAAATCTTGTTTGTCAAGGACCATTTTTTTTGGTCTCGTTCTTTTTGCAAAATTAAATTAATCTGTCAAACTATTCTGTATTTCCCCTCTGTAGTACAGTACACAAGACTACATAAAGTGCAAATAAACAACAAATACAAGACAGGAAATACCCAGAACAGAATACACAGAACAATAAATACACAAAATAATAAATACACAGACTAATGAACATACAGAACAACAGAGTGGTGTTGTGCAGGAAAGCTATTGGGACAATGCGCTGTAAACTATTGTGTAGTGTAAATAAAAAAATGTCTGATGCAGCTTTGTCAAGTGTGCAGTGGAATTGAGTCATACTGGGTAAACATTGGGAGGCAGGGTGTTGAGTAACCTGACTGCCTCAGGGAAGAAACTGTTGTGGAGTCTGGTATTGGTGGCATAGATGCCCCCATACCGTCTCACAGATGGCAGGAGGGTGAAGATTCCACGTGAGAGGTGGGAGGAGTCTACCACAATGCCGGTGGCTTTGTGGATACAGGCAGTGGTAGCTCAGTGGTTAAGGTGTTGGACTACTGCTCAGACAGTCGTGAGTGCAAACCCCACCACTGGCAAACTGCCACTGTTGGGCCCTTGAGCAAGGCCCTTAACCCTCAACTGCTCAGATATATATATATATATAAAGTCATTCTGGATAAGAGTGTATGCCAAATGCCGTAAAAGAAAGGATACAACAGTTATTGTATGAGGTGGTGAAGGCGGGGAGAGATACCCCGATAATACTAGAGATGCTCTCTAGTATTAACATTAAGAGATTGTTGTCTCTACACCATTCTGCAAGTTGCTCCAGTAGTCATTCAGGCAGGACACAGACTATTTCTTCAGCACAGGGATGATGGTGGTTGTCTTGAAGCACACAAGGACAGCTGCTTGGCTTAGGGAAATATTGTAGATGTCTGTGAGGACATTCCCTGAGCACCCAGCCAGGTATGTTGTCAGGACCAGCAACCACATACCTCCGCAATCATCCGCAGTTACTGGTTCGCATGTGTGGTGATGGTCTTAAGGAAGTCATATCATCTATGCACTTGCTGATGTAGCCTGTCACTGATGCACTGATTTCAGGTTCACATGCATTAGTGTTAGTTGGAAGGTACACTGCAATAATGAGCAAGATGGCAAACTCTCTAGGGAGGTAGTATGTGAAAAGTAGTGAGAAATGCATAGCTTTGTTAGTATATATATATATATATATATATATATATACTAACAAATATAACATATATGTATATATGTAAATATTACAAAATATTTGATAGAACTGACCAACTACATAGTACTTGCATTTATAATATAGCCATTATTAAGTTATTTTTGTTTGATTGTGATTTTTCTTTTTCTTTTGTTTTAGTTCCCTCTCTTATTGTGGGTGTTGTATCTCTTAGTTTTTCTATTTATGCTTCAAATGTAAGAAAACCAATAAATAAATAAAGAAATTGACTTTCTTAAACAAAGTAGTAGAATCTAATATTTGAGTCTGGGTCTTTAAAGGTAACACCTTTAATACATTTCAACACTTTACATAATACTTTTAACACTTTATAAAATAACAAACAAAAATTCTTCCTACTCCACTGTCTCTATATATCCTCTGAATCATGTCTTCGTCTGCAATAACCACACCACTCAAAAATTACACCACTCTATTCCGGTAAACAACAGCTGACCTTGGACCTACCAATAGTGCCACCCTGTATATTCCGGTAGGCACAGTCCACACTGATTTAGGTGTTTAGGCACTTGATTGCCAGCAGACCAAAGGGTGACCACGCAGGTGGTTTAAAGTCCGGCATATACAAATACAACGCAATCAGGAGATGCCCACAGCCAGGTCCAGTAATGGTAATGGTTTTAATAGTTAGATGGTAGTTTGTAATGATATTTGTATTGGAAACCATTAAAATTTCTGTAACGGTTTCCACTATTTATTTATTTATTTTCAGCAGGGATGTCAGAACCCTCTGGGTACATCTAAAATGCAACCTGAGTGATTATATAACACCTGCACCTTCGCAATCTCTTTGAAGAATGTCTTAAATTCCTACAAAACTATTTTTGCCTTTATTCATTGAAGTTAATCTTTATGCCATTTTATGTATCTAGCGGCCAATAGGCGCACATGCACGCATCATCCTTTTCAATGAAAGTTATTATTATTATTATTATTATGATTATGATTATTATTATTATTATTATTATTATTATTATTATTATTATTATTATTATTATTATTATGTGTCAACACTTAATTCATTTACGGAAGCAAACAAGCACAAATTGTACATTTAAGACTAGTCCTTGTTGGTAAATGATCAAGTTATTCAAAATCCATAAATATTAGTGTTCAAGTATCAACGGATGTAGCGTCAAGGGTGCTCAGGGACCGTCTAAAAATGATAATCTAATAATTTGTTTACCTTCAACAAAATGCAGTTTTATAGGCTCTCTGTGTTGGTCGGAGATGATACGAGCATTTAATATTCATAAGTACGTCAAACTGCGCATGGACATGTATCTTGTTTTCTGGTCTGTGCTGGGATTTGTCTTCGTTTTGGATGTGTTCATGTCATTGCTCGGCTCAGACGCGCCCTGGGCTTATTCCGCCCTGTGTGAAGCGGTTGCTGCACAGCAGAGGAATCGAAACTCCAGCAGCTGTTGAGCAGAGCAATGCCTTCACTCAGAGAAGTGTATGAAGTTGGCTTGGATTTCATCGAGTTCTTAGGGGCAAGAAAATCCAAAACGGACAAAAAAGAGCTTCGAGACATCTACAACCTCGAGTTCAAAAGGTTTCCCTGGGAAAGCTTTCTGTTTATTCTGCACGTTTGTTTGCAATAAATAGCTTGAAGCTTTTAAACCAAGTGTAATTCTTAAACCTAAGGTATAATGCTACACGTAGGTCGGGTTATATGTCCAGCAGAAGTACAGAAAATAGCCTGTCATAATGATTGTGTGTTTATTGTGTTTGTGAAGCTCTTCTAGACAATACTGTATGGCTAATGATGACTAATGATCGTATGATTGTGACTGTCTGTCTTCCTGGTTTCTTAGGGAAGGAGGACCTGCTTTTTCTAGGTTGGTCTCCGCCTTAGTGTATTTCAACAAAGCCAGTATAAGACAGGGAGAAGTTGTCCTGCATGCCAAATCTCAGGTAAGTCCCCTTTCGGTGCGTCTGTCTATTTTTGCGCCTCTCTTACTTTTTGTTCAGTCTCTACTGCTGCTCTCTCTGTCTCTCATATATGGTACCTCTCCTGAATTCTCTTCCATAGGTACGTCTGTACTACTGTGACCAGTGGAGATCCAGGACACACTCAAATCCGACTGTAGACTCGAGACCTGATCATGAAGACAGCACAGCTCCAGACTCTAGGCAAGGTGCGCCGTACTCGTCACCCCGAGTCAACCCTGTCCTCACTCCAAAAAAACGACTGGCTCAGGAAACCCTTAAAAAACTCAGGGCAAACAGGTAAAGGCTCAAGCCATTGCTGTATTCAGCAGTGATGAACTTCTGCCAGGTTATGTTTTCTAACAAACGGTGATTACCACAGCACAAAGAATTGATCTTGACTTCACCAGCGAAACCCATGCTCAGTTTATGGATATGGATGTGCCTTATAACATATCTGTCTTGTCCACGTATAAGTTTTTTTTGTTTTTGTTTTTAAACAGCAGTTTTTGGTTTTGTATCATTTCTTTGCAGACCGCAGCTTATCTCTGACAAGGGAGGCATCGAGGTCACATCATCTCCTGTGAGCAGAAATGGAAAGGTTGTGCTCAATATTGAGCTTCTAGACACAGTGTATGTGGTGAAGTTCCAAATCGTAAATAAAGGGCAAAAGTGCATTCACTTCACCTTCTACACAGCGCTGCACAGGATACGCTGCTTCACTTTATTCGATGAGAGGAGAGTGAGCAGGGTTTCCCCTCTGCTCCTTTGTCCAGGTGAGAACAGCCTCTGTGAATGATCTTATACTAGACCTACTACTGTATATATTCAGATAGAAATAAGAATATCAAGCACTACTTTAACATGATATTTAATTTCCATTCTGCATTACATAAAAAAATAATAGATAACAGTGTGTACTGTTACAGAAAAATGATAATAACGGGGCGGTGTCATGCGGCACATATTGAAGTATAGCAGTTTGCCAGCACTTATGAGATGAGAAAGGAACTGTATACTTCTTAAAAATATTTGCAGTTATTGTTAATGTTGTGGAACTGCTGTGAGACAAGTACTTCCATATTTTAACTTTGTAACAGCTATGAATAGACGGACTCTCTTTTCATCTCAAGCTAATAAGCCAAAAAAAAAAAAGACCACAGCTTGCCACGTTTTCCGCAAACAACAAAGCTCTCTGTTGTGATGACTTTCCTGTGGTTCAAAACTTAAGGAAGCTTTACCTCTGATTCAGTGTTGACACCCAAAACTCAACCAAAAAATCTCCTCACAGAAAACTTCACAATATCAACAAAAAACTTAGAAATAATAATAATGAATTTATTTGGAAGATGCACCATATAAGTCCCTATATACAATAATATATTAGAACAAGCAATTTAATGTAAACATGTGATTTGCCTTGTAGCTGGAAAATTAATCAACCCCTTATGACCAATCAGAATTGAGAACTCACCAGTGCACCAGTGCAGGTTTACTTGTTCACATTCAATAGTGGAATCTAGGGATTCACTCATCCAATACAGAGTATTGGTATAAGGGTTGATCCTGAATGTTGGATCTGTCTTATATCTTGGATTTGGCATATAGTCTGACAATCATTTTGTACATAGGAAGTGGGTGTTGATTGACAATTCGGATCTTTTAAAATGAATGTTACATATAACACATGGCCTTTCTTAAAGCCCTGGTGAAATTATTTCCATAATTAGCTTCTTGCTATTAGCTACATCTTATGAAGAACAATGCTGTTCTTTCACAGCTGAGGAATTACTGAATTTCCTCAAGAATTGTTTTTATTTTTCTGGTATTTTTATATAAGCTATCACAACTGTGATCTTTTGCTTAATGTGGCAAGGACAGAGTGCTTCAGAGAGTTTGTTTGACAAGCATGTTCAGTATCAGATCAGTATTGGATCTTGGCCAATGCTTGGAGCTCAAATATAAGTATCAAAAATAGAAAATGAGGGATTGGTGCATCTCTAGGGGAATCAGTTTGTGCGAGGTAAAAACAAATCAATTAATATTTCTTTTGATTAAACACCTGTTAATGTCTACCAGGTGAGAGCTATGCAGTTGAGGTGAAGTACCAAGCTCACAACTATGGCTATTTCCCAGCCACGATGTACTTTGAGTTCTGCCCCGAGTTCGAGTCTTCAGAACCCCCCAAACCTTTCTGCATTGTGAGGGAAATTGAGGCAGTGGTGCACACTCAACTGAGCACTGAGCTGGGCCCAACAAGTCCGTATAGAGCCAGACAGAAAGGGCAGAACCGCCCCAAGCACCGAGTGGTAGAGGAGGGTGTGCCTCCTGAGAGGTAAGTATACTGGAATGTAGAGTTCTCTTCCCAGAACATAGGAAAGATTACAAAAT